AAATATTAACTAGCCTAACTTGAATTTATTGAATGCTGCCTTGAAGTTCCAAAAATGTGATAAGTGATTTATTATCAAATAAATCACTTATGAATAAATCACTTATAGAACAAAACAACAAAAGAAAATAATTATAATAGGTTAATAGCATTCCAGGTGCACTACACTGCAGCAGCAATAAACTATATCCTGAAAGGAGGGTTGACTCCTGCCAGTAAACGTGTTGAAAATTGCAAGTGTTGGCTTACTATTATCGGCAAAATTAAACGGAACAGCAGGAATCTGTATTCAGCAAAACAATTGATAAAGATAAAGTGATAAAGAGACAAAGTGTTCTTTCGTCGGCAGGACTGGGAGCATGTGTTCCTAGCTGATAGCAAAATGCTATAAACTTCTGTTGAGCCAATGCGTAAGTGCGACGAGTGCTAGGGGCCAAACCTTTCAACATCAACTCTTTGCATTGTTGTTCTAGAGTAGATACGTCAAGTTGAAGACCAACTGCGTTGGTGGCGGAGTTGGGTTCTGATTGGCTGACGGGGCCGCACACCTGAACTCCTGCCATTTGATCGTGAGCATCAGCAATCGAGTTGTGCACGCCTTGGATGTGCTCTGAGGAGAAAGAAAAACCAAAGCGTGCGGCTGCATGCAGGAGACTTCGTAGAAGATGCATTAGCACAGGAATTTTGGACGTTTTCTTGTTTAGGATTATCACCACCGCTTTGTTATCTGAACGAAATAAGACGTGTTGTTTAATGCTTGCCCCAGACGTGAGCAGCCAACATGACAGGGAATAACTCCTTGTAAGCGATTGACTGTGTGGTCTGAGATGAGATCCCGTTGAACCACTCCTTATTGAAAAAGGCACCGCAGTGCCGCCGGGATAAATCCAAAATCCCGTTCCATTCCACATGTCAAGGAAGCAATACCACCAATCGGGGTCACGTAGGAACTCTATGTTGAGCCTAATAGGGTGATCTGGTGTACGGAAACAACAAAGGAGATCGATCATATGGCGAATGTATAGTGACCACCCTCAGTGTTAGTGTTACTCTAGATACCATATCTTATCGTAACTGGGCCCCCATGATGGAGTCCAGCCCTGTAGTACAATAGACCTGTTATCACGCGTCTCCTTTAAGTTAGGATGGTCTAGCATTAGTTATAAGTTTAATTATTCATCAGTGATTTTTAGTAAGCCGAAATAGGGACGTTTCTCGTTCACACAGTATTTTTCAACAACCATTGACTAATTGAGTATACACTGTCTGCCATTTCGTCTTCATCTTGATATTAATGCAAATTAACAATGTGCAATGAACATCACAGAAAATTTGTTTCAACTCTTCCTTACCTTGGACGATTACATATTAGTGGATACTCCATCCACATCCTTAAGGATGGGAGTATAACCACAAAAAACTTAATGGAAGTAATTGGCGCAATCTGTCCTCATTGCAGAAAAAAATCAATGAATTTAAGTCTTTCACACATTGAGTCCTGATAAAAGGATTTAATAATTCTTCTTAAACTTTTGCAATGTAGAAGTTGTACCTCCATAATTATATTGGTA